TCTGCTACCTTAATATTTAACATATAATATACGTACATAGATCTATGTCCATATTGTTATATATAAATATATTTACATATGTACATGCCTGTATTTATACCTCTACAAATGGCCTTTACCTCCTAGTTCTTTTCTATATTTCATTTTACTACTCTTGTCTCACCATCTTGTTCGACCTTCATTCAGCTTTCATTAATTCCTCTTGGCTACATTGCACTTGATCAAGCACTGCTAGGCAACCTATGCCTTCCTTGCCATAGATTTTAGATCACCTGTTGTTCCCTTAGTTGTGGTTTTTAAGAGCTACAAAATACTAGGAAAAATAGATAATGGATAACATTTTGTGGTTGAAGAAATTGAAGCTCAGAGAAGTTGAGTTGCCCAAGACTACACAACTAAGCAGCTAGAATTCAAATTCTACACAGAATCAGACATCACATTCTTTGGAGAGTCCTATGCTATTCAGTAAGGAATTTTGGTTAGATATTGGACTGCTAATTGCAAGGTTGTAAGTTCAAATCCACCAGCTTCTTTGTTGAAGGTGAGGTTGGCTGTTCCTACAAAACTTTGTATGATCAGAAACCCTATAAAAGGTTGATTTGTTTTTTTTGTTTTATGTTTCTCTGTAGCCTTAGTTATACTTTCTTATTGGACTTTCTGAACCAGCAGGTCATTCTTCCTTTAAAAATAAATCTATTTTATCACAGTCAGATGTATGAATCCAGGGTATGAACTGTAGGACTTCTGTCAGCTCTGGAGGAAGGCTCTTGTCTCCTTTCAACATATGTGGGCCCAGCACTCATTGGAGCTCTACATGTGTCTGGGCTACATGTGTCTGGGAATCAGTCTTCCCAGCATAGGAACTCTGGTACCAAATTATCCTGCTCTTCCTTCTTCTTCTTCTTCTTTTTTTTTTTTTAAACATTTTATTAGGGGCTCATACAACTGTTATCCCAATCCTTCTTAATTATAGTGGGCTCTCCTCGCTCGCTGCTCATTTCTTTCTCCTTTTATCTCTTTTGTGAATCAGGTAGGGCTTTGCTTTTCAGATAATCAGTTTTGTATTCAACAGTTTGAACCATTTATCAGATACCCCTATAACTTAACCTAACACCGTCCCCTTAGATTTCTCTTTTCACTCTTCTGGATTACTAAAGCTAATATTTATCAATTCGCTAGTCTACATTTTTTTACTCTTACCTCCTTTGCCATTCCCCACTTGGTAACTTCCAAGTTATATTCCCTTTAGTATGAAAATATTCTGTTTTGTTTTTCTTTTATAACAGTAGTATCATACAATATGTGTCTTTTTGTGATTGATTAACTTCACTCAGCATATTGTTCTTCAGGTCCCTCCAAGCCATGTGGGGCTTTGTGATTTCACTGTTTTTTAGTGATGCATAGTATTCTATTGTGTGTATGTACTGATGAGCATTTAAGCTATTTCTATCTTCTGACTATTAAAAACAGTGGTACAATTAACATATGCCTGTTTGTGGTATGACTCTTACTTCTTTAGGTTATACAGCAGATGTTTTGCTGAGTCATAAGGAATTTCTATTCCCAGTTATTTGTTTTTATTCCCATATTGCTTTCCACAGTAGTTATACATATTTAAAGTCCCACCAGCAGTGTATAAAGGTTCTAATCTGTCCATAACCTCTCCAGTATTTATTGTTTGTGTTTTGTTTTTAACTTGGTTGTCATTGTAAGTGTAAAATGGTATTGCATCATTTTTATTTGTATGTCTTGGATAACTAGTGATAATGTCAATTCCTTATATGTTTATTGGCCATTTAAAGTTAATTTATGATTAATTTTCTGTTCATGTCCTTTGCCTATTTTTAAATTTGGTTAATATTTTTTCTTTTTGAAATGTTACAGTTTTCTCGATTGTAGAGATTAGTTCCTTGTCCATTATGCCATGCCAAAAAAATCTTTCCTCCTCTTTTAATGAAGTCTTTTGATGCATTTAAGTGTCTTAAGTGGAACATACTTAATTTTTTTCATACTTATTTTTAGTATGCTCCACTAATATATTTTGTCTTCCACTGTGTGTGTTTACTTTGTTATATTTGATAGTGTGCCATGCCCTGCAATAGGACTTTTAAGTTTATCTCGGTTCTCCTCAATGATGGTCTTTATAGCTCTTTTATCCATAAAAGATCTTTTAGATCTTTTATCCATCTTGAACTCAATTTTGTATATAGGGTGTAGTATTGGGCCTATTTCATTCTTCTGCAGACGAGTATTCAATTTTGCCAGTACCATTTGTTGAAAAAACTATCTCCTTTCTATTTAATGCTTTTTGGTCCCATTCCAAAGATCATTTATATGTAGGTGAATGGATTTACTTCTGGCTTCTCTATTCCATTGATTAGATTAATATGTATATCATTGGATGATTCCCAAGCTATTTAACTGCTGTGGCTGTGTGGTTTTGAAGTCGGTAAGTAATAGGCCTCCTCCTTTGTTCCTCTTCTCAAGAAGTTCATTGCTTATCCTGGATTTCTTCTCTCTCCATATAAAGTTAGTAATTAGTTTTTTCCATTTCTTTAAAGAATGAAGTTGGGATCTACATTGGATTTGTGTTGCATTTATAAATTGCTTTGGGTAATATTGACATTTACACAATGTTAAGTTTTCCTATCCATGAACATAGAATAGTATTCTATTTGTATGAATTTCTTTAGATTTCTTGTAATTGTATTCTGTAGTTTTCTTTATACAAGTCTTTTGTTACTCTGGTTAGGTTTATTCCTAAGTATTTCATTTGTGTGTGTGGCTATTGTAAATGGAATATTTTAAATTTCTTTTTCACAGCTCTCTTCATCTGTATACAAGAATCCAAATGATTTTTCAATGTTAATCTTTTATCCTGGCAAGCTGCTGAATCACTTGATTGTTTCCAACAATTATTTTGTTGAATCTTTGGGACTTTCTACATATAAAATCATACCATCTGCAAATAATGAAAGTTTCCCTTCTTTGCCAATCTGTATTCCTTTGATTTTTTTTTCTTACTGTCTAATCACTCTAGCTATGATTTCCAGCACAATGTCGAATAAGAGTGGTGTTAAGTGTCATCCTTATCCAATTACTGTGTGAAAGGGTAATACTTTCAGTTTCTTTCCATTGATCAAGCCGTTGGTCATTTTTTGCTTACATAGCCTTTACTGTAGCGAGAAATATCCCTACTATTCCTATTTTGCTGAGTATCTTTATTAGGAATGAGTGTTATCTATTGTCAAATTCTTTTCTGCATCAACTGATGTGATTACGTGGTTATCTTTTATATGGTGGAATAGATTAATTGTTTTTCTAATGTTGAGCCATCTTTGTGTGCATAATAGGAATCCCATTTGATCATGGTATATTGTTATATATAGTTGGATTCTATTGAGCAGCATTTTGTTGAGAATATTTGCATCTGTGTCCATTTGGAAATCTTATGATGTCACCTCTTTAATCTCTTGGTATTTTCATCTCCTCTTTATTTTCCTTTATTAAATTTGACAGCAGTTTGTGAATTTTGTTAAACCATTCAAAGAACTATCTTATTGCTTGTTGATTTTTTTGCACTGTTTTTCTGTTGTTCGATCCATTTATTTCAGCTCTAATATTTATGGTTTCTTTTTGCCTGGTGATTGAAGATTTATTTGGTTATTCTTGTTTTAGTAGTTGCAGATGTTGGGTTAAGGTGTTTATTTTGGTCCTGTCTCTCTTTTATGTGTATGCTTATCATTATAGTTCTCTGAATACTGCTGCTGCTGTGTTCCAAAGGTTTTAGTTTGTTCTGCTTTTGTACTCATTTGTTTCAAATAATTTTTTTCATTTCATTCCATTCCTTATTTCATCAAGTACCCAGTAGTTTTTAAGCAGTTCAGTTTCCATGCATTTGGGTTTCTTGCCTGTGCTCTTCCTATTGTTGATTTCTAATTTTATAACACTGTGGTCTGAGAAAATTGATTGTAAAATCTCAATCATTTAAATTTATTAAGGCTTGCTTTGTGTGCTGACATATAGCCTTTCCTAGAGAATTTTCTATGTGCACTTGAAAAGAATGTCTACTGAGATCAGGTTGGTTATTTGTATTGTTCAGTTCTTCTCTGTCTTTATTTAGTTTCTTTCATGAAAATCTGTCAGATTATCTGTTCTTTCTCGAGAGTGAGTTATTGCTATCTTCTATTATTGCTGTATTGTCTTATTTCTCTCTTCATTTCTATAAGAGTTTGGTTTATGTAATTTGAGAGTCTTTCATTGTGTGTGTATATTTATTGTGGTTATCTTCTAGTTTGATTGGTCCTGTAATAGTTTTGTAGTACCCTTTTTTGTCTCTCATGATACACTTTCCTTAGAAATCTCGTTTATTGGAGATTGATATTGCCACTCCTGGTGTATTTTTTGGTTGCCTTTAGCTAAATAAATTTTAATTCCATTTTTTGATTTTCAGGCTTATTTTTGTCTTTGTGTGTTTCCCTAACTGCTATCAGAATTCTTTACTTGTCCTTCTATCTAGGACTTTCTAATATGATTCCTTTTGGAGCAATTGTAAATGGGAGCTGGCACCATCTAATTCTTCTGGTCTCAGGGTCACACTGGATGACATTTATGTGGCCTAATTGTTCACATACATTCTTTTAATTTTCTTCATTCTTCTTTGCTATGGATGTGGAGAGATTGATAGTAGCACCATAGATGACCACTTACAGCTCTTAAGACCCCAGTTCTTCTCACCAAAGTATTCTCATTAGTCTTGCAAACACATATAAGAATTGATGCTGCAGTCTGAGATGGAGTCTGGATATGAGACAGAGGATTCCTCTGAGGGAGTCCTCTAGTTGACCTGTTGTTCTTAGTTAGCTTGCAAAGCTAGCCTTCCTAAATTTATACCAAACCAACCACCATCGTCACCCTATATTTTATGTCTGTGTGCTGGCTTTCTTGGTATTTACTCTCTATATATCTCCAAAGAAGGCCTTCTTTTTCTTCCTACCTAGGACCTGATTCGGAGAGACATCCTGTACTATAAAGGCCGTATTGATATGGATAAATATGAAGTGGTTGACATTGAAGATGGCAGAGATGATGATTTCAATGTCAGCATGAAGAATGCCTTCAAACTTCACAACAAGGAGACAGAGGAGATCCATTTGTTTTTTGCCAAGAAGCTAGAGGAGAAGATTCGCTGGCTCAGGGCTTTCCGAGAAGAGCGGAAAATGGTTCAGGAAGATGAAAAAATTGGTAAGTAGCCACAGAAGACTATGATAAATATAGAGGGTTTGGATTGGTTTTCAACTTTTAGAGCCAGATTGGATAGTTTTGTTGAAAGTAACCTAAATTACTTTGGTGGTTCCTGAATATTAGATACTTTTGGTAGATACTGGTAGCTTCCATTAATTAAGGTAGGTGGAACTATAGGTTGGTCTCCCAATTTCATTGTCAGATAAGAATGTTACACTGAAAGCAAGTCTCAGGGTGCATTCTGCTTAAATGTACAAACATTTATTAACAAGTAGATATAAAAGCAGTCTTACAACCTGTCAAGAAAGCCCCAGCTCTCTTTGCATACATGACAGTCAAGGAAGATTTTGTAATATTTTACTGAAAGGTGTTTTTAAAATATTCAAAACTCAAAGGAGTTGAAGCATAAGGTTTATTCTGAGCAGTTATTCTATCTGCATACAGGAAGATAACTCTGATTCTAGAAAAGAAAAAAAAATAGGACTCTCAATTAGTCTAGTTCTAATGAAGCATACAAAGAGGAGGGACAAGAATAGAAAATCAACCACTGGCTAATCTTAGGTAATTGAGCTCTGCCTTTGCTTATGGAAAAAACCTGCTATCAGGTTACTGGGTGATCTCTGGCCTGGCTACCCCTTTCCCCATTATTTGCACAAATATTTAAGTGTAGTCTAGAGGTTTTTAAATGATAACAGGTCCGTCATCACTATGGAAGCAAGAAGAGATTACCTAAAATTACTCTTTAAAAAACATACATAACCTCTGAGCTAGCTTATGATTATATAAGTCTCTATTACAAAGTGTTTTGTGTTGATTTAATCTCTGTTGTAAACTGAGCTTCAGTTTCATTATTTTAGCAGTCCTGAATGTCAGAAATAGTTTAATGATCTTTACAATTGTGGGGGAGGGGGGCGGAAGGTTTTAAATTTTGGTTTTCTGTCCAAAAAAAAAACAACCCTTAAAAGCAAAACAAAGTGAAATGTCACATAGGTTTCAGCTTAATTTCTTATCAGATTCTAGCAACAAAATTATTTGATAACAGCCAGCATGTATAAACTGCTTGCAGTTTTAAACTTTAGGCTTCTTTCTCATGATATGAGACTCACTAGATTCTTATACCCAGTTCGTACAAAGACTAAAGTGACTGTATGACATTTCTGGACACTCCAAAAACATTGGAAAATATTCCTTTTATGAATGAAAATTCATTTCTAGCATGTGGTATACCTCTTAAAGTAGCATAACTGCTAATCTCTGGAGAAAATGATCTTAACCTTTTAGAAGTTTTTACAATCAAGTCTGAGCTATGTATTCCATATTGGAGTATTTCCTGTGTTAATATACACCCTTAGATTATAGCTTAAAATTATTATGTGCATACTTATCATGTCATTTATATGGAACTATTTTAAAGTAAACTATAAAAAATATAATAAGAACTAAATCTGTGATCATTTTCAAGATTTAGAATCACACTAAAGCATAACCTTTCTTTTGAAATAGATCATTCCCCTTTTGCAGCAGGGATGCAGTTAGTTGATATTTTTTCATGCTGTTTCCTACTTGTGAGATTCAGGTGCCATTTGTTATAGCCTTGTGGCTTGCAGTATGTTATCTAATCTCTTGCTCAGGGTCCAGCCTTTCTTGCATAAAAAAATACCCAAATTCCCTGAGAACTTCCCAGAGTGAAAACACACATTCTATAAAGTTCAAATTAAGAAACTTATTGAAAACCCAGGCAAGTCGGAACTGAGAAAGTGTCCAAATTCACAGAACGAAGATAGCCTCCTTGCTACATAATAAAGAAGCAATTATTCTTTATACAGTTGAAGGAAAGCAAGGACTTGGCAGATACTGATGGATGATGACATGTATGTAGGATCACATGATTTAGTTAAAATGCATAATTGCAAGTGTATGTCCTTTTCAATTAATTATTGAAGAGTCACATGACTATTGCAGAATATATTTTTTTTCTGGGAACCCATTATTAAACTGTTTCCTCAAGCATGTCTTTTCTTGGTGGTCTATTGTAAAGATTTTTAATAATGCTGTTAGTGAAGATCCTTTGGATATAAGCTATTGCATTCTGTATCTATTTGACCATAAGAAGACCCTCTTGAGATATGCTATGATGTTCTGTGTTTTCCTGACCACACACAAAAGAAAATCCTCACTGCCATTGACTCATAGCAGCCCTATAGGACAGGGTAGAACTGTCCCTGTGAGTTTCTGAGACTATAATTATTTCCAGGAATAGAAACCCCTTCTTGCTCTCAAGGAGCAATTGGTGGTTTCAAATTTCGGACCTTTTGAATTACAGCCCAAGGTGTAAGCAGGGATCCTTTCCCAACACCAGGGGGCACAGGAATTATTTTAGGACATATGGTAGGTCAGTACAAAGATTAGAAAAGTTGCTATTAAAAAAAACCAACGATGAAAAATACAACTTTCCTCTAGTTCCTAAAAGTTTCCTCCCCCACCCCACCCCCCATCATGATCCCAATTCTACCTTGCACGCCTGGCTAGACCAGAGGATATACACTGGTACAGATAGGAACTGGAAACACAGGGAATCCAGGATGGATGATCCCTTCAGGACCACTGGTGTGAGTGGTGATACTGGGAGGGTAGAGGGAGAGTGGGTTGGAAAGAGGGAACCAATTACAAGGATCTATATGTGACCTCCTCCCTGGGAGATGGACAGCAGAAAAGTGGGTGAAGGGAGACATCTGACAGGGCAAGATATGACAAAATAATAATTTATAGATTGTCAAGGGCTCATGAGGGAGGGGGGAGCGAGGAGGGAGGAGAAAAAATGAGGACCTGATGCCAGGCGCTTAAGTGGAGAGCAAATGTTATGAGAATGACGTAGGCAATGAATGTACAAATGTGCTTTACACAATTGATGTATGCACAGATTGTGATAAAAGTTGTGTGAGCCCCTAATAAAACGATTAAAAGTTTTTAAAAAAGAAAAACCAACTTGAAAATTCAGCAAGAATTCTAGACTCATGGTAAGATGGAGTTAGGGTCTGCTTTCAAGCCACTGTATTTATACACACCAAGTGTCTTAGATTTTAGATTTTCATACACTTTTCCTTTTTTGATCAAGGATTTCCATGAAATTCTATGATCACACACAGGATAGTGTGCTTTATTCTGCATAGACTTCTCCATTTCAATTACCTCTTGGATGGCCACTTGCCTTAGTGAAAACATTTAAGGTCTTATGGCAGCCCGTGATATATTCAATATTTTCCCCAATACTTCAATACTTCTTCAGCCTTTCTTATTCCTAGTCCAGCTTTCTCATGTAAATGGCAATTGAAAGCAACATGACTTGGATCAACCATATCTTAATCCTGAATGTAACATCTTTTCTCTTTAGAATTTAAGTAGGTCTTCTGCAGCACATGCCATTTGACTTGGGTGGCACAATATGTCCTTTGGTTTGAGTGGTGCTTCAATGAGTGTCAATTGGGGATCCAAGTAAAATGAAAGCCTTGACAACTTCAACATTTCCTTAATTTATCCTGATGTTGTATATTGGTCCATTTGTGAAGATTTTTGTTTTCTTGTATTGAGGTATAAAGCATACTGGAGACTTAGCTCCTGATTTTCTAATGAAGTCCATTAGTACATTTCCTAATTGAAGTCCCCTTCATTTCCAGAAAGCATATAATCCAACTTCTTGGATTTTTTTCTCAGCATGGTGGAAGGATACAACAGCATGGTGGAAGGATACAAAGGATATAACATCACCTTTCCTGATGTTAAACCAAGCAGTATCCCCATGTTTTGTTTGAACAACGGCCTCTTGGACTATGATCAGTCTCCAGATAAGCACAATTCCAGTGTTCTAGAATTTCAAATGCTGTCCATAAATTCACACTCTATACAAGGTTACCCATAATTTGTTCTCATCCACACAGTTGATTTACCTTTACAGTGTCAACAAAACTCAGAAAAACATCTTTCTGGTATTCTCAGCGTCCAGCCAAAAGCACTCTGTCATCAACAATGATATTCCACCTTCCATATCCTTTTCTGAATATGGTTTAGATTTTTGTCAGTTCCCTGTCAAAATGCTATTTCAAGTTTTTTTTTCAGCAAAATTTGTCTCAAAGGTGATATTATTTAGTTATTTCTATATTCAGTTAGATCACCTTTCTTTATAATGGGCACAAATGTGTATCTCCTCAAATCAGTTAGCCAGATGACTCTATTCCATATTTCTTGGCATAAATTAGTGATAATTTCCAGTGTTACATCCATTTGTGAAAGCAGCTAAATTAGAACTCTGTTAATTCCTGGAAGATATTTCTCACCAATGCCTTCAGTGGAGATTG